ATTTTTCCCAGATTTTGGCCTATATCCAGTTAAAACAACTGTATATGACTACTCACTAAACATTCCCTTTCTGTTCAGTTGATTATGGCATTATTCACTTTCTCTTCTGATGTGCTGACATACTTTTGTGCACTATTAAAAATTCCCTGCTTCTCCCCTAAGGCAGCTGCATTTCAGCGTTGGAGTGATGAAATAATTCCTTCAAGAGCTGGCAATTGGTTTTTAAAGCTTAACATGCACTCTGGGATCTTGTCAGGAAAGGTTGTAAACAAGCATCCAGTATTCCTGCCCGCTAATATGGACCATTCCTTAGCAGGTCTAGACATTCCACAGCCCTGCCATGATGTATTGCAGCAAAGTCATGATGTAATGGGCAAGAATTTTCATCAGTCAGGAGGAAAGCAAGGAAGTGAAAAGAGATCTCAGCTATTCACCTTAGAAATACTGAAGAACAGTGTGCAAAACCTGTCTCGGTTTGAGACAATATTTTCAGATAAAAAATTTTGCAGAGTGAATGTTTCCTCTGAAGTGAAAAACTTTGATGATTTTTTTTTTTTCCCCCACCAATATGAAAATAGACGTTGGGGCAAAAGTGAAGAGATAAAGAAAGTAGTTTATTAACAAAACACAGTGCCCACAGGACACAGATAAAAGTAACTGTTAGATATTTAACACTCAGGAACACAGGCAGTCCCCTCCTCCACAGAGCCGCTCACCAGTGGTGGTGTGGAGAAAAGATGGTGGCTCCTGTCCCCGGGAAAAGAAACAAAAAGAGAAGCCCACGTGGCTGTTCCCGTAACAGTGGCATAAAAACCTGGATTATAGTCCTTTCTTCACTGTGGATGGAACAGAGGGCTCGGTGTGTGTTTCTGTTGCCGGCTTGGCTTCTTCTGGAATCCCAGATGAGATGGAGCCGCGCAGCTTCTCCCCGTTGGTCACCGAATTGCTCCAGAAGCAGAATCACAGGAGCCGCAGAGGGGGCCTGTCCAGGAAAAGCTGCCGAAGTGAACAAACCCGAGCTAGCCAAAACTGCAATGCAGTAACTCCACTGCACACACTGAGCAAGTACTTCCATGGTGCAGAGCTGGATGGCCAAAGCAAAAGCCGATCGCCAAAAGCCCGGGCTGYGTGGCAGCACCGGCTTTTAAACTGCCCGCGACGCCTTCCCAGCCGCCCCTACCCCTTCTTCTGGGTTGGGGTTAAAGGCGCAGGCACCTTTTGGGCATACACGCCAACAGAAAAGGAATACAGAAAAGAATTGGCACAAAACCAACCCAAGACAAAACTTCATCTGACAGTATCCATGGAGAAGGGGGAGTTTTATTGGAGTATAAACCCCAAGGTTTGGCTTTTGGTATGGTTAGGGAACTCAAGGTGTATGATTAGAAAGAGTAATTGGGAAATGTGACACTTGGTCAAAAAAAGTGGTTAATTATCCAAAAACTAGAAATTAGTAACATCCCAGTGGTTTTCACATCAACAGCAGCARTAGTTCTTCACTCAATAGGCAGAAAAGCAGCAAAAAGAAAATATTATTTTGRTCTTAGTTTAGTGATGAACAAGTTATTGAAGCACGCCAAGATCAGAAGGGGATGAAAATATTGGATTGTGGTTAAAGACAGAAGTAAGAGAATGAATGAGAGCAGGGRTAGCTTTCAAACCTAATTGGTTAAATAACCATCTCAAGCATGGGATAGTGTCAAAAAGAAATAGGACAAAAGGCTAATCAGTAAAAACGCTATGTTTCAGAGGCTAGAATATATAACGTAAAATAAGAATTATTACCAATTTGAAGTGTTCAAGGCCAGGTTGGATGGGGCTTGGAGTAACCTAGACTATTGGAAGGTGTCACTGCCCATAGCAGGGGGTGAAATGAGACAATCTTTAAATTCCCTTCTAACCCGGGCCATTTTATTATTCTRTATTTCTACTAAAGTTATTAAATATTAGAACAGTTTGCAGATGTGTTCAAGAAGACAAGAAGGAAAGCAGCAGGACCTCTGTACCAYTGGGCAGGGGTAACAATTAAAAACAACAGAAGAGTGATGATTCTGGCCATGTGGCAGAGGCAGTACATCTGGCCACATTACTTCAGTGTCTGTCTTCATTTTTAAACACAAAAAAWTAATCTGCTTAAAATCTCATGCAGCTTGAGAAGTGATGTTATGTGGAAAAGTATGAACTGAGCTGAAATTGGCAGCAGGACCATTAGGTGAACAAGAAACTGAATATAAATAAGTCATATACCATACTGAAAAGGAATAGTGACAGGTGCTGGTGATTCCCTGAAATATCAGTCCTGGGGCTGATTTTGTTTGGTGTTTTTATCAGGATCCTTGGCATCACTGTGATGATAACATCAAATCAGGAGATGTCACTTTAAAACAAAAAGACCAGAATGTGACAATAAGCATGAAAAAAAAGGGAAAAATTTAAACCAAATAAAAAGTTATTGAATTCTCACTTTATGGTCAGTTATTTGGAAATTATTGAGGAAAACTTAGGAAAACAGGCTGATCACAAAATGGTAAAAAACATTTCTGCAAAGGAATGCCACCATGAAGCATGTAAATTCATCAAAGCATCAGTAAKGCATTACCTGTAATATTTTGTACCAGTCATATTCTGGGTGAAATCAGACTTGAATCCATATGAGCAAAGTCTAGAAATGTTGTAAGAGAAATGAAAATAATGTCTTATGACAGGAAACTTTTAAGAGCATGTCTTACTTAGTCAAGCAGGACAAGGGGTAAGGAGAACTTTTCTTGGTCTACAAATCCACCAAGAAAAACTTTGAAGAAAATCCCTTAAGTTTAACACTTGCCAGAAGAGTAAGCATGTATAAAACTTACCACCTCTGCATTTAGGCCAGAAATTACAAGGTTTCTAATTATGAGAGCACTGAAGTTTACATTATCTTTTAATTAGAAATACTGATAAAAATAAAAAAAAACCACCCAAACTATTTACTTTTAGGAGGATACTTGCTCAGTTGAAGAAAGAAATTATAAGATGAGGTTTCTTCCAGCCCTCTCTTAGCAGTTCTGTCTTTGCAGTTATCGTGGTGGCTCCACTTCCCCAAATGCAGCAAAACAGGAGAATTCACAGGTCCAGCACAGGCCTAAGGTCTCTTCCAGGACAAGGAGGGTCAGATGCATCTGTGAAATTTTGAGAATTTTACAGTGGGAGCCTCTCAGGGCTGCGAAGAAATCATGAGTTAAGGACTGCTGTATGAGAGGCATGGCACTGAATTCCAAATGGGATGAAGCCCTACAGCTTAGTGTAAACAAATGGTTATGATTCYTGTCAAGATCAATTTTTCATTTCCATAAAGCCCAGTTTAATAACATGGCACAGGCACCGCTGAAAAACGGGAATATCAGCTTTCCAACAATTTCCCAAAATTGAAATAGAATCTGTTTTGGCAAAAACAGTACCGTTTTCTACCAAGAAAAACATTTTAGGTAGGTAGTTATATAAGCAGTAAAAATAAATGTTTTATAAAATTCACCTACAAGGACTTAGAAGTATTAAAAAAAACCCCAATAATAATTAACCAGATTTCATGAAGAATGAAACAGCCAAAAATAATAGCCAGTACAGCTGAAGAAAGTGAAGTCATTTCTCCTACTGCACTCCAAAGCTTGACCACCTGGAGAGATTAAAAAAATATATCCAAAGAGTAATTTTCCTAATATGGGCACAGTGCAAAATTCTGTCTCTTAACATGACTTCATTTGGCCAAAGGAATGGAATTCTATGCAAGCTTAATATGTTTTACAAGTACTTGGTTCTCTGGCACATCAGCAAATYTTTGGGAATGAAGGATGAAAGGAAGGAGCTTGGTTTCCCTTTGAGCTAAAAACGAGGTATTGTCTCCTGAAGAGAAAGTAATATTTTAAATTATCAGGCATGATTAGTACAAGATCAGCTCCATGAATAAATTTATTCTGGAAACAAGTTTTCTATCTTTTGAGTTTCAAGAATTGTTTTTTTAGAGTGGAGCAAGAAACCTGTTTGACAATAAAGCTTGGTGGATTCATTTCCATGACAAGACAAAAATGCTTCTTGAGATAAAACCTCATCTCTGGAACAGTGAATATTAATCTCTGGATATCTGAATGCACTGACTTTGTTAACACCACCTTTTTCCTTCATTGACGTAGACAGTCATCTCACTCAGAATTTGAGTCTTCAGTRTATTAATAATCCAACATAGACATTTAATGGGAATTCTGCTCACTTCTTTTTTCTGCTTTTAGTCAGAATTTCTTTGGGTTTCATTGTGTAGAGAAAATTATTAACCCAATCTGTGCCCTGATTTTTTCCCTCAAATCTTAGTTTTGCAAAGCCTTATTTTTATTAGAGTGCAGCCTCCAGCTCTGGGGTCCCAGCACAGGAAGGACCTGGAACTGCTGGAGAGAGTCCAGAGGAGGCACTGGGAGAGCAGAGGGATGGAGCCTATGAGGAAAGGCTGGAAGAATTGGGATTGTTCAGCCTGAAAAAACCTTCAGGATGATTTAATTGCACCTTCCAGTATCTGATGGAATCTACAAGGAACATGGAGACAGACAGTTTACAAAGGCCTGGAATGACAGAACAAGGGGGAATGGCTTCCAAATGGAAGAGTGGGTTTAGATCAGATACTATGAAGAAATCCTTCCCTGTGAGGGTGGGGAGGCAGTGTCCAGGGCCAGGCTGGACATTGGGGCTTGGAGCAGCTTGGGACAGTGGAAGGTGTCCCTGCTCATGGAATGGGGAAACTCGATGATCTTACAAGTCCCTTTCAACCCAAACCATTCCGTGATTCTGTGACTCTGAAGTTCACAGGGCTGTTACATGAAGATGCTGTCAGGTGTTGCTGTCTAARAATCACGGAAACATACGGGAAAACAGAGCTTTCTTTGAGTTATCAGCTTAAGGGTTTCCCCCGCGCGTTTCRGAAACTTCCTCAGCACCTCTTTCCTTTGGGTTTGTGCTGACTCCCCGTGGCCGTTCTCATGATAGAAACACAACACCGAAATTACCGAGCAGGAGCAGCAGCGCCCTGCCTCCCTGACCAGCCCTCGCACCCGCGGCGGGATCGCTGTGCACACCGGCACTCTGAGGGTGTTTCATATTGCACCAATGCCATCAGATGGCACCAAACCCGCCCCAACTGCGGGGCGAGCGCATCTGAGCGTCACCGAGGGAGGCTGGGGAGGAGCAGCTCATCCATCCCTGCCCGTCGCTGGCCTTGTCCCGCCCCTTCCCCCGGATGCAGCCCCGGGCGGGCCGCGATGGCGCTGCCCACACCGCGCTACGAGCACCTGGGCCCGCGGGGGCCCTTTGGGGACGTGTACGAGCCGGCCGAGGACACCTTCCTGCTGCTCGATGCGCTGGAGCGGGACGCCAGCAGCCTGCGGGAGGCTCGGTGAGGCCAGGCCGGGCAGGGAACCGGGGACGGGCGAGCTGAGAGGGCATTGCTGCCGCTGGGGTGTTCAAACATCAGAGGGGCTGCGGAGGTGGGGAAGGGCCCGCAGGGGAAACCGTGCGAGGAGGGGCTGAGGGCACTTGGCTTGTTCAGCCTGGAGGAGACCGAGGGGAGACTTCAACGGGAGCTGCAGCTTCCTCATGAGAGGCAGCGGAGGGGCCGGCGCTGATCCCGCTCTCCGTGATCTGAGGGAATGGCCTGGAGATGTGTCAGGGTTAGGCTGGATGTCAGCAAAAGGTTCTTCATCCAGAGGGTGGTCGGACAGTGGAAAAGGCTCCCCGGGGAATGGGCACAGCATCAACCTGAGAGCTCAAGGAGTCTTTGGACGACGCGCAAGCACAGCGTGGAATTGTTGGGGTGTCCCGTGATGGGCCAGGAGTTGGTCCATGATCCCTTCCAGCTCAGGATATAMCATGATTCTGTACTTCAACATGTTTAGGAGGACAGCATGGTTTATAACGCTGTCGTGACTAATTCTGTCTCTGTTGCCGTGCTCTGGTATGTTACAAWCAAAAGTCATCGGGAGTGTTCTATTTAGAGTCGAGATCTGCCTTGARATAGGATCTGGATCTGGTGTGGTTTCAGCATTTCTGGCTTCCTCCATCCTTGGACCGAGTGCAGTGTACATGTAAGTATAACAGCACCTAAACTGTTGCATGTAATAATAAAGGATGCTTAGCCCTCTCATATGTATTTSTCATTTTCACATTTTAAGAACTATTCACTGAGAAGCTCAATCTATAGATACAGCAAAAAAAAGAGAGCGTGTTGAGCATTTATGAGATTATGGTGCAGCCTSAATTATTTACTTCAGGTTCTTTAACAAGTGGTGCTGTGACTAGAAATCCATTTTTCCATTTCTCAAATTGCTAAGCCTACACATGTGTTCGCTGTTGAAYCCTTGTGGGTCCCTTTTAACTTAGAATACTCTGTGATTCTATAATTAGCTTGTGGCTCATAGGGTTAAATTTCCAGGTACAGTAGCCTGTAACTTATGCTTTGTAATATTTCCCTTTTAGATGTACAGATATCAACCCCATGGCAGCTTACTGTACCCAGGAGACAGCTCTGCTTAACAATGTTCACCTGCAGCCTGTCATTACTGACTTGGTAAGAGAGATGTTTCAATAGTATGTCCTTTATGATTTGTGTAAATTTTGATACTTATTGGACATCATGGAATCACACAATAATTAGGGTTGGAAGGKACCTCTGGACATCACCCCCTGCCAAAGGTTAAAAAAACCCCAGCAAACTACCCAAGATCTGAAATTCAAAATTAAGCTCTAAAAATTCATTCAAATATTTAAAAAAAATCTGTAGATATGGTTTGGAAAATGCTGGACAAGAAGATCTGTAGTGGCCTGACATTATCATGACCCTTTGTCTAAAGTTATGCAGTTTTGGGTCTCAACTTTTTCTGATTTAATTAGAACTTGTGTCTACTGTTACCTTTAGTTTCTTACAGAATTTGATATGGAGAAAAGCTAATTTTCTCACCTCTTTAACCCTGAATATATATATGTTTATAATGTATAATAGACCACAATAAATGGGATTCAAAATGGATGAACAACTGTACTATGTAACTGTATTTTTACAAAATATTTGCATTCTTCATGTTTCCAAAAAGAAAYCCCACACAAAAGAATCACCAACTTCGTTTACAGGTCAAAGGATTGTCTCCAAGATTAAATGGGAAGGTTGATCTACTGCTGTTTAACCCGCCATATGTGGTAACACCTTCTGAAGAGGTAGGAAAAACTGGAAATACACAGTAAAAATGGTATTGCTGTTGTCAACTGTTGTGACAATTCTATCATTCTGTGTTATGACAATCTTTGCTTTCCTTCTTCCTAGGTGAAAAGCCGTGGAATAGAGGCATCCTGGGCTGGTGGCAAACAGGGCAGAGAAGTAATGGATAGAGTTTTCCCATTGGTACCAGACCTGCTTTCACCGGGAGGATTATTCTACTTGGTCACAATTAAAGAAAATAATCCAGGTGATCACTATCCTTGAACATTTAAATGTGACAAACCAGATTCATAATTGAAAATGTTGATCACAAATGCAGACCACAAATACAAGCAAATCGATCAAAACTAGGAACTCCCTAAGTTAGTTTGGAAAACGAAAGTGTGTAGGACTCCAGCAGCTCTGAAGAGTTCAGTTCCAAGTCTGAAACGTGAATTAAGTCTGAACTAGTTAATAAAGCCAGGCCAGTTCTTTCTCATGGAAGAGAATGGTGTTGTTAACCTCAAAGGCTTAGTTGGAAATGTGATGTCTTTCATTTCACAGGTGTAGGGAAAAGATTTGGACTTGTTCCTTCTGATCTAATGCTTAATGGCTACAAGTGATCATGTCAAGATKATTCTTCACAACTGATTTATTAGGCAGCTTTTGTGAGAGGATGATAMAAATTTCACTTATTCCTACAGTTTAGCTTCCTTCAGAATCCTTCTTTGCTATTAATATCAAAACACTGAACTTCAGTTTGTAAATTGTCAGCTTTAGTTGTTCTTGGTGGGGGATTATTTTCCATAAAAATTCCTGTCTGAAAGAGTAAGAGGACAGAGTTATTATCTTTGTTTTACAGCTGACAGATACCTTAGAAGTGTCTTTTATAACCAATTYCTAACTCATTTGTAAACACTGCAATTTGCATTACAGATGAAATTCTGGAAACAATGAAGAAAAGTGGCTTAAAAGGCACACGGGTACTATCCAGGCAARCGGGACCAGAGATGCTGACTATCCTCAGATTTAAGAAGTCTTGATAAATTCTCTTCACCTTCCAGGTAGTAGACATGCAGAAAGTTAAACAGAGTTGTCAGTTGATAAACACTGGAGTGTGTGCAGTCTGCCCTCTGTTAATGGCAGGAATTTATTCGTACAAGTAAAATATCAAGAAAGAAATTAACCCAAAAACTGAACTAGGAAACAAAGAATCAATGGGTTCATAATTCTCTAATATCCTCTGACATAACCAATCCCACACACCAGAATGTCACTTTTACAAACCACGCACATGTTTCATTTCTAGTCTTCAGCTGTCATTGGTCAGAATCAGGATCACTTTACGTCATCAACATTCACAACAAACTAAGTTCATAGGCAGCAGTATGAAGATACCCTTCTGTTGTCTTAAAATGTTCTTTCCTCTCCCAGGATCAGTGTTCTCAGCATGGATCATTTTGGCCATGGTTAAGGAGCAGCGTTTTCCATGCTCTTCTGACCTTCAAAGAAGAAGACAGACCCTGGTTAAAATACACAGATGGTGAGAATTCACCACAAAAGCATTTGAAGGAAGTTTGGATCAATGCACAGATGGAAATAYAGTGGCACTTTATACAGTGCAAAATATGAAGACAGAGTTAGGAGTTGTTTCACTTGTTCCCACATACCTGTCCAATATATTTTGCTGCTGTACTACTCAGGGTACTGAACTTCTCATCTCTTCCAACATATGAAGATGTTCCAGAAGCAGATAAATAAGGAGGATTCTCCAATTCTTCAATACACTGTAATGAGTACAACAGTTCTGCARCTCATTCAACACATTCCTTGAGGCRTCTCAAGGAATGATGGGGAAATTTATTTTAGAAATAGTACATATTTATRTCACCACCAGGATTTTTTGTGGAATGTAATTTTGCAAATAGAAATTGAATTTTAGTTCTTTTCACTTTTTTTTCTCCATTTTACAGAAACATTAATATAGTTTTTCTGGTATACAGTGGAGGGTTTTCTGGGGTTCTCGTTGTTTTGTCTTTGGATAGCTTTGCAACATAGAAAGCTTAAATCACTTGGCTTCAATTCCCAGCTTACTTTTCACCCAAATAAAAACCAGACAAGCTTGGAAAAACTTAGGGGAAAAATGGAAGAGCATTAAAAAAAAATCCATCATGGTTCTGTAGAGACTGACTTGCAAGACTTTTCTCTGTAATGCTCCTATAAATGTTACTTGGATATTTGTAGGAATTTATKTAATTTTTGCAGCGCTTTATCACAGGAGTGTACTGGGCACCATGTAGTCTTCCTATCATTTGAAATTAGCAGAGCTTCTTACTCAAAAAATTGGCCATTTGAAGTTGAAGGATAATTAGATGTGGTTAAGCTAAACAATCACAGATGGTCCTGAGGGTTTAAAAAAACCTCTTTTCCCCTTTCTCTGGCTCCTGGCTTCCCTCATAATGCAATGAACAAATTGCAGATTTTTTTTGGCTTTTTGAAAGATGCTTCTACAAGTGAGGTTTTGATTATACAAGAAGCAATACAGCAGASACGAGGGATGCACAGCAGGATTTTAAACTTACTCAGTGCTTCTGTAGGACTAATTCAACATGCATCATTTTAGAAGGAAAAATTCRCTACTCACACAACAATCTGCACTATAAGGGATGATTGTTTCTACTGCTTATTCTCAGCAGCATCGTAACATAAGGACAAGTAATTTGGATTTTGTGGAGTCCTTTTTCAGTGTGTCCTTTAGATTTTTTCCACTAAATATTTTTAAAACATTGAAAAAGTTAGCTGAACCTTCCCAAAACTTCTGCCAGTGCAGTTTCTTCATAAAATTAGAATCAAACTGAAGTCAAGCAGAAGCTTTGTTTATAGCAATTATCACTTCTGCTTACAATGCAAATACTTACCAAAGTCTAAACTTTTTTCCTAAAGTAATGTTTAAGAAAAAATAATGGAACAACTTTCTGAAGTGTTGCATTTGGATTTCTTCTTTCTATCAAAAATTGTGTATTGGATCAAGTACATGATGATGCAGAGAATGACACTGATGTTTGTGAGAAACTGAAAAAGCCTGGCAAAAATTCAAACCCAGCCTAAATGGAAAATATTTAGGGAAGAAAACTTAAGTGTAACTGCACAGACAGCAGGGCTCCACTTGAGCCAAAACACTTCCCACAGATTGTACAGATGAGCATCCACAGCCAGCTTAGAGAGAAAAATTGGTTATTCAAAGAAGTTAGTCTCTTTTTGACTCTTAATTACCACTTTGAGACATCCTATTTTTATGAAATTATTAAGATGAAAATGAGATATTTTAGATCTCTAAATGGTAATTTAGATTTTTAATTTTTTTTTAAATCAGTCAATGATTTGAGACACTGCATTCTAGCTTTGCTTTAAAAGCATGTTTCAGAGGATAGTAAATACTAAATATATATAATATATATAATAATATAATATATAATATATAATACATAATACATAATATATAATATGTAATATATAATATATAAGGAACGAATGAGAGTCCTAATCCTAAACTAGAAAAGGGAGATGGCAGCAAAAGATGTCACCACATAGGCGGTGATTTCCACTATCTGTAGTAACTCAGTAACTTCTTTGCTGAACCCTAACACATAGCAGGTATTGAAAAAGCCTCATGTGGTCCAACTGAATCTAAAGAACTAATTCAATCTAAAGAACTAACACAATGACTAGCACAGTTCACTGTGTTGGATACTATTGTTTTGGWAGAAGATGCTCCAARCATATGGAGTGAAACTTCRACTTGAGRTTTACTATAAATAGAAATTTTCTTCAGCTGGTTCACYTTTTTCATGGCTGTTGCTACTTTACTGAATGCAAGTGAAAAGAAAAAAACAGCCTTAATCTATGCAATCTTCTTTCTGTTCCACCTCAGGTTTTCATCTGACAAGACCAAAGTTCTATTTTGGGGCTGTATTTTTCCTGTTTGCAGGAAACCACAGAGTGAGACACAGTATTTTGAAAGTGGGCTCCAGGAAGTCGGCTGAAAATTACCTTTTAACACTGCATGAAAGAGGTTTTACTGCCTTAAAGGAGCAGCAATGTTCCAATGTCCCATACAGCTTCTTGCCTGTCACTGGTAATCATAAGAGCTTTCAGGATTTGTTGCTGCACCAGCCAAGGTTGGCTCCTGCAGCCCATTCCAGGCCTTAGTCCTGTAATTCCCTGTTTGAAGAGGGATCAGCTCCTTCATTTTGATGCCAGTCTTTCTTCACAACATGAGATTCTCTGCATATACCTGCTTTTCCCCCAGTAATTTCAGCTTCAGGAGATGAGCTGAGCCTTGTTAAATCAAAGAATACATGTTGAGCTASGTTCTGAATTGTAGGCTGAGCTTGGGTGCTCTCACAAGGGGGATCAGACCATTCAGTCCATAGCTGGTTAGGGCTCCATTCGGGGGTTTGTTGTCTACAAAACACTTCCCTCTGTGTAACCAAAGGTACTGTAGCTGTTGGATTTGTCTTGAGGTAATGACAGGCTTCAGAAATAAGGGRAGGGAGGAAGCAATTTAAAGCTAATTATAGGAGAATTAAGGTGAGAAGGTCTCAATTACTGCAGTGAAATCCARTGCTGAATTTGAGAGCTATTTTATACACTAGAGAATGCATTAAAAAACCACTTGAGGYAAGCCAATAGACAAACCCTCCCAAAAGAACCTCTAAAGCTCCTGATTACTTTTCTTTCAGCTCTGAACAGAACTTCTGAACAATATCCCTCCGCTGAGCTGCAATAGCTCCTGCATCCCATCTCACATCCCACAATTTCTGCTTCTACTTGAGATGTGCTCCCTGCTTTTGCATAAGAAAGAGGTGGCCTCTGCCAGCAGATAACCCAGAAATTCCAACCCCCTTGCAAAAAAAGATGGGATGAGCAAAAAAGAAAAATCCTTATCTGCCAAAAGCAGAACTGCCACACGTTGTCTTGTCCTCCAGTCTATGTAAATAACAAATGTCAAACCTAATYATCAATGTAACTGTGGCCTATAAGCAGTTCTGTTTGATCCCACTCCATCCTGGATAGGGGCTGACCTGCCTTGAATCAGTTAAAAAAGTAAAATGTTACCCTAAGAATTTAGCAYGGCCTAATTAGTAAACTTCTACTATTTGCTTCACCTGATTCTGCATCACTTCCACACGAATCCTCACTGATACATTGATTTTGTGAGTGTGCATGTGCTGTTTCATACAGGAATTGTCCACACAAGAAACCTTTACAAAGGGTATGTTTATTTCTATTCTGCTTTTCCATTTCACAACAAAAAGCACTCAATCTTAATGTGCTGTGACCTGGAAATGACTGAAAATGAGAAAGTAATGACTCATAAATTCATCAGTGAAGAGGTTGTCTGAATTTATCATTGACCCAYCATGAGATGTCAAGACAGGAAGAATTGAGGAAAAGGAATGTGTAAACAATCAAACCCACAGTTAATAATTTTTGATGGGTTGATAGTATTTGCTCAATTTTCATTAAGTCCCCCAGAGAGAGGGATCAAACTWTGGCCTGTTTTTCATTCTTGTACACTGCAGAAGCCCTTCCTTCATGAACAGATCCTGTACCTACAAATCATCTCCTGCAGTGTCAAAATGCGCAACAATCATTCCATGTGGTATTCACTCAGAGCAGAAGGCATAATTAAGAAATTTCTGTCACCATGAAGAAAACCAGGAATTGTCAGGAAACAGAGGTTTTGTATAACCAGTCCTGAAACAGACTTCAGTGTCATTGCACAGATAAACTGCTTCAATAGCAACTCCTTAATTTTTTCCATCCCCATGCATTTCTTCTGTCTTGTATTACACCATTATATGTGAACTATCACATATAATTGATCCACTTGTTYGGTAAAATAAGCGATCATGCATAAGTTTTATAAAAAAGGAATACCTTTATTTTTTTTTTAAAGAGACCGTTTTTTTCATTACCAAGTGAAAACTTTACAATGTAAAGTATTTCTCTTCAGTATTGTTTTAATATAAAAACTTAAATCACTTACTCTGGTCTTACTGTTCCTACAGGAAGTCTTGTGGCACTGCAGGAACCAGGTATCTTCAGCCTCACTCTAGCATCTAATCATAAGTTCATGACTTTTTTTTTAAATAAAACCATTTCTGTGGCCACTCACCATCAACAAAACATCCCTACCACCAAAACAAAAATAAAGCATCTTCATTAGACCAAAAGAGACTAAACTCTAATAGCACTATTACAGTGAGAAGCTTTGTTAAAATAAAAATATTTTGAAAGTTAGACACGACTTCAAAATTGTACAAAGACAACGAGCACTCAAATTACACAAAGTAGCAGTGAGTACAATGTGAATGCAACAACAGTGAGCCTTGCGTCTCTTTATATGTAAATATAGAGATTATCCTTGCCAAACTTCCAGGTTTTTTTTTTGTTTTTTTTTTTCATTTTTCCTGAAAACCAGCTCATTATGCTGCAAAACCTAACAAGGAGCATCTCACTCTTCAGTTCAACAGAATTGCTAAAAGGGGCTCTGGCTAAAAACACTCCTTCTATCATGAGAATATCCCATACTTTGTGGAACAAGTTTCTCTCTCCATTGAAAAAGAGATTTCCCTTTCATTATGCTGAATGCTTCACCTTCCCTAGGGACCTGCCAAATTACAGGCTTCAAAATGATTAAAAATTTGGAAGCTTGCTCATGTTTTTTCAAGACCATGTGAGCTGAAACTATCATAGTGTGCAGATGTAAGGAGTCACACAACAGAGAATGCTTCTGTTTGTATTTTACTCTTTGCAAGCATTGTTTCAAGAAAAATACTTASAAGTAATTTTAGTTTTTGGTTGGCTACATTAAGTACTGGTCAGAGAAGAAAATATTTCTTATTTTAATTTTTTGTAATATTACATTTAGAGTTCAAATATATTCATAAAACCATCTGGAAAAAAGTATCCCTTAGAGCTTGTCCCTACATATGGATGGAAAGTGGAAAGYAGACGTTGCTGCCATCCTCCCTTTACTTCTGAAAGTATTCTTTATAGGAAATACATTCTTGCACAAGTAAATAAACCCCCATGGTGACTGTTCAAACAACTTCATCACAGCCTCCAAATTAGGATTTAATTATCACTTAGGTTTAGCTAGATGAGAAAACTTCTGCTGTAAATCTTCTCTGAGATCAACAGCAATTTAAAGAAAGCTATATTTTATCCAACTGCAGTCATACTGGCAAAATGATGCTCTGAATTTGAGTGTTTGCAGGACTCTGTTTCATGACAGAATGCAACCACTTATTTTCTCTAAGAGTCTTCATGATTTGGGTTACATTCATGATTCTAAACTTACTTATTCACTATTCTTTCTAATTTATCTGCAAGTGCTTTATTTTCCATAGCTTTACTCCATTATTAGTATTTTTAGTATGAATCAACATTGTGATTTTCAAAAATGCTTGAGGAGTGTTGTGGCTTTAGTTTTAAATGAAAATATCCTATAATTAAGACAGCAATTCCTGCAAGCTAGTGTGCCTTGAGTTCATTACACTTGTCAATTTTTTTTTTTTACTTTTATGTAAAACCATAAATGTGAAACAAACTTGATTTTTTTTAAGTTATACAAACCTATTTAATGTTCCCCTGTCTGTCAGTTTGTCAATCAAGGGAAGAACATACAGCATCAAATCCTATATAAAATCATAATGGGGTGCAGCCTGGAAAATCCCATGTTAGCAAAAACTGAGTGAACTAGTCCAAATTCCTACCTTTTGATCATCCCATTTCTCTAGCTGCAATATTGCATTATTTTCCATTTTCTTCAATTCTAAGATAGCATTGCTGAGGCTTAAAAAAAAGATTAAAAATTAAAGCAAGGACATTGTTTCACTGTAAGGAAACAGTAGCTGTGAATGAACACTTYCAATTCTTGTCAGGACAGAAAAGGCTACTGGCAGTTTACTTTTCACTTGGCTTCAAAAGATTTATTAAACAGTTCTAGCCCAAGGTAGTTAGATATTTTAAGCTAAACCCAAGCTTGTGCAATAAAAAATGATATTTAGGAAGGCATATCTTGATCTCCAGGATTAGATATAAAAGTTGCTACTATTTTTTCTGTCTGTAGTCCTAGACCAGCCAAGCCAAGTGACAGGTTGCTGTTCCTGGCTGCAGATGCAACAGTGGACTGAACAGCCTTGGACTGGTGCACATGGACAAGAAGCCTTCTRTCCACAGCTTTGTCCATTTATTCCAGCAGATTTCAGATCAGGAGGCTGCAGGAAATGGAACAACACAAGTGCATTTCTGTAGAGCTAATTGCACCAAAAAMCAGTAAGTCTCTCTCAGCCCAGTAAAAGAGACTGCTCTAAATATAGCCAGGGGAATAGCTCCAAACCCAAAATAATCTGGTTATTTTATCTCTTTCCAGCAATTCCTTAGTATTACTGTAAATAAAATGCTGTGAAACTCTACTGGGAGAAGGAAGCTGGACAACTGGCTCTATCCTCAGGAATTAAAGCATTCTTATGCCATTGTACCCACTGAGAAGGAGGATTCCTGTGTTCCCAGGAGATGCTTGGCACCTCTCTGAACATAGAGAATCTCCAGGAAATCCAGTACAGGCAGAATTCAGTTGTATTCCAGCGCTTTACACAATATTCCCTCATTTCATTCAAAAACTTATAGAACACTTGCATCAGGTGAACTATTTGGCATCATAATTTGGAATAGCTCAGTAAGAGTTTAGTAGATTTTGKAAAGGGTAACATTATTGAAATTCCTCAATTTCCAATTTTACTTTTGCCAGTTCAATAGATGTGGCCATGGCACAGAGTAAGAAATACAGCCCAGGTCTGTAATTCCAGTATAGCTTCAAAGTATACACAGCTTCCTACTTGTGCTTGGGAGTACTGAAGAGCCTTTGCAGTAACTGCTTTAAAAACTATTTTAATCACTTTACCTCCCTTGACTGAAAGGCTGATGGCAAGGCCAGAGATGTAAAGGACATTCAGGGAAAGATGGAGCAGCCTCTTCTGTGCACAATGAAAAAACCYTCTGAACTCCACAGTTTAGTGCCCCTGCCATCCCCAATTAAGATTTTGCATCCTTAGCCCTGCTAGTRTGAAAAAAGGCATTAATCCTCTCTGCTAAGAACTTGGTCCAGCATGAGTTTCACTTGACAGCAGCTGCACTGCAAACCACACTCAGACTGGTTTGTCTACTCAGCTTTAAATATTGGCACGGAAAYTGAAGGGGGCATGTGAAACCAATATGATGAAACAGTGATTTTAGAAAAGCAGACATGGCAAACCTGCAGAACTCCCACTTAAGTTCTCCCAGAACTTAGGAGAATAGCAGAGTTCAGAGGTCAGTACAAGAGACTGCTTGTTTAAGTTGGATAATGAATACGTCCACAGTTGCACTAAACAGCATAAGTGTTCTAGAAGAAAAAAAGTTTTGTTTCAAAAGGTAAACCAAGCTTGAATAGAAAGTTGCAACAGTCCTCCCCCAACAGAGCACTTGTGTTTTTAACTAACCATCCTAGAGCTTCTTGGATTTCAAAGGTGCAGCACCTCTTCTTGGTCATTCAGGGACAGGATATGAGACAAAGCAGTCCACTGCCATGATTAGCAATCCCTACCACACCATCTTCTTGGATGCACTGTGAAGTGAGGTGCTCCATTCAAGTGCCTTTTTCTTAGCCTCAGTTACAGCTGGACTGAACAGAGATCAGGTGTCTGCCAGGACTGCTCCTTACATTCCTCATGAGCTCTACATCAACGTAGCTCTGAAGTCCACTGCAGGGTTAGCGACAATCTGTGGCATGCCACTAAGTTCAGGAGTAGATTGTCATTTCTACAAGAATACAAAATAGCTTGTAAAATCAATATGTAACACTGTATATATGCATGAATATAAAAATAAACCACACCATCAATATGTAAAACTCCACAACAAGGATGAAAACAGTTGTCTTCTCAACGGTCTTCAGTGTTGATGAGCTGGTTCTCATTGTCATASCCATCAGGCAGATATGCTTTCCTTAGCTGCTCCGACTTGGGTATGGAGCTGCCRTTCTTAACGTAGCGGGACAGGAAGGCTCGCACAGAGGGGTGATCAGCCTTCTCCAGGGGGATATTGGCTTCCAGGCACATTTTCACAAAGTCCTGGATCACACTGCTTTTCTCTGTCTGGGCAGTGCTGTTGCACTGGAGGGAGGCAGTCAGAGTCCTTTGCTTCTTCCTGAYGTTCTGCTCCTCAAACTCCGCCTTCCTCTTGGTGTGCGTTTTGGACTTGAGGTGGTCGTTGATGGCGGAYTTGCGGACGTGGTTCAGCACCACATTGCAGGAGGTGCAGAAGAGCTTCCCCCCRTCCTCGTGCAGCTCACTGCCGAACTCTGTGACACGGTCCTGGGGGGTCACGTACAGAGCRGTTTTGGAGCGGTTCCGCGACGGAGCCGACTTCACCCCGAACCGTTCCATCACTGCCTTCAACCGGGCAAAGCTGTGAAACAAAACATCATTACATTCAATATCAARCCTAGCATATATTGACACCCAAAGGAGAATTAATTACATGTAAGACRTTTGTGATGCAATTATTGAAAAGCTCTTCATTTGGAAGTCCAAAGAAATAGGAACAATGAAGTTCCTTGAGGGCCAGAGTAAATTACTTTTTCTTTTCTCAACAGAACCCCTCAAAACTCAATCTGTTCACCACTCATAGTCAAATAAAAAGGCTTTCTGCTTTTCTTGAACACTCATTTTTATCCTTTACACTTTAGGACAAAGGGTGCTTTYTTCTGAGCATTTTCAACATATTTGATAGTTTCTTAATCACATTGAGTCAGCACTTCTCTGTTTAGATCTGGAAAAATGTGTATTTTGTCCACAGCAAGCAAAAGAACTATTACTGTCATGTGTAAAAAAAGCCAGTAACCCCCAACAAAAGAAAACCCAAACCAAAACCAAACACAAGCTTTGCCAGCACTTTTTTGGAAACAGCCSTGGTTTTTAAACCACAACTATTAGATTGAACCTGAACTTGGAGCCTAAAGTAAATAATTTTATCCCTGCAATTACTGCTGCAACAGCTAATGGGAACATAAAATTACACACATTGCAATGTAAAATAAGAAATTGTATTTTTAAAGAGGACAACTTATCTGAGGAAGRTAACTGATAACCATGGGAGCTGGACACTTTTAACATCACTCTAARCCAGACCATGTCACCAAAGCAGGCAATAATCCAGTCAGGTACTCTGAAATCAAGGACTTGTGTCCTTTTATTGTTGAGGGACAGAGTAGCTACTGTAAATCTCAGCTAAAGATAATTTAACTCCTTTTTAAAGTAAAGTTGAAGTCAAGTAATATCTCTGTTCATGTTTGAGGTTTTCTGAACAAAATGAATGGTCAAAAAATGAAAAAGACAACAAGTGTTTCTTCTAAGTATCTGGATATCTCTGGATGTACTTCTCTGTACTTGTTTTCTTTTGTTACTCAGTTCGCTGTTGCAACATTTTTTWAAAAAAGACTGAATACAGTTTCTGCTGTCCAGAATATCTTTTTGCTCACTTGGGTACTAAAGGAATAGAGAATTCTTCAACATTGTCTTTTTTCTTAAACATATTACATGAAAACATGCAACCTTCTGCAAAAAAAGCAAAGATCTTGGTATTAGCTACTTTCCTAGATTTTTTTTTGCTCTCTTTGCTACTTTGTAGAACTGTAAGTCTTTGATACAGACAAAGATTAACAATCTTCATCCAGCATCAATGTAACTTTCTTCATTCTTTTTGTTGCTTTATACATGAGTTTCCTAAGCAACCATTTCCAGAAATCAAGCAGAAACAAATCTTAACCCAACACACACTTGTTGCTCAGGTTTCTGAAAGGCTAAAAAAAAAAAAAATCCCCTCCAAATCAGGTGTTTACACTTTTACTGCATCAAAAGCCCTGGGGATTCAGTGAGCAGCACAACAGAGGATTTCCGATAGGCCTTTTTTTGGGGGGGGGTGTCAAGATTTGGCATGAGTTCCTCGCTGAGCGCTGCCTGCCCCCGCTCGGGGTGCCCGGCTCAAGGGAGGCCCCCGGGCACAGGCGGATCTGCTCTCCCCGGCGAGGCGGCGGCCCGGGGAGCGCGGCTGTGAGCAGGGCCACCGCACCCCGGCCCCGCTGCCAGCCCCAGCACACGCTCGGCTCAGGAGCACAAGTCTGGATCTCCAAGCGCCGGGCGGGTTCCGCACGGTGACCGGACCAGAACTCGACGCGTTCCTTGCCCGGGTCTGTTCCCCGGGCTGCCGGCGCCGTTGTGSCCGGGGGGCTGCGCAGAGCCCGGCCCGGCACAGGCCCTTCCCCGCACCGCGGCTGTTTCCCAGGGAGGCCCCGCAGCCCCCTCCCCACACCCGGGCTCGCGCACACCCCGTGCCGGGCGCCATTACCCGCAGCCACCGCGCCGCCCGCCCGCGCCCGGGGCAGTCCCGGGGCTCCGCCGCCGCCCGCTCCGCGCTGGGCCCCGCCGGGCCGGACGCGCCGCTCCGCCGCAGACACACGGCCCCGCCCACCCCGCCGCACCGCCCCTGCCGCCGGCCGCCCCGCCCGGCGCCGGAAAGCTCACGCTAATTGGTTCGCTGCGAAGACGGGTGGTGCTTTTGTCCAATTAAAATTGGAAGGCGGGCAGGAGAGCGTTGATGGAGGCATGCCCCGACCAATCAGAGCGCGGACGGCGGCGCGGAGCGGCCGGGGGCTCTGGCAGGGGGCTGCAGAGAGGGGCGTGACGGACGCGGCGAACAACCAATGGCGATGCGGAARTGAAGTAATGCCGAGACTTTTCCGCCAATCGCAGCGCGCTGCGGCGAAGAGGCGGAGCCAGTGCTGAGCGGCGCATTGATGGGCAGGGMGAGCAGGCCAATCGGAGCGGGGCGCGGCGGGGGCGTGGCCGGACGCGCGGCGGCGCGGCGGGGGCGTCTCTTCCGGCGCGGCGGGGCGGGGCGGGGGCTCTCGGTACGCGCGGGGCGGCGGGGCCGCCATGGCGGAAGACGAGAGCGACCAGGAGTCGGAGCGGCTTAGTGAAGAGCTGGAGGCGCTGGCAGCGCCGGGRCTCCCGGCAGGGCTGCCCGCCCTCCTCCGCAGCCAGTACTACTGCCGCCGCTTCTGCCAGGTGAGAGCCGCTGCGCGGGGGCAGCGCTGGGGGCAGCGGCGGACGGAGCCGGGCCGGGCCCGCCGCGCTGCCGGGCCGTGGGGAGCGGGGTGCGGGGCGCGGCCCGGGCTGCGGCGCTGCCGGGGGAGGCGAGTGCCGGGCCGAGCTGCGGGAAGGCTCCCGTGGGGGGAGGGAAGCGAAGGGAAGGCGGCTCCCGGCGCGGGGCCGGGGCGGGAGGGGGCAGGGAGAGCCCGGGGGCGGCCGCGGGGACACGCGTGGTGCTGYCGGTGTTGCGGACAAAACAATTCCCGGTGGCCTTGCCTGGGTGGCGGTGGGAGGCAGAGAGGGAAGAAGGGCCTTGGGAACAGTTCCCATCTTGGTGACCAAATTAGACCCGAGTGTTTTGTGATGTTTTAATTTTCTTTTTTTGTTTGAAAAGTAGCGTTTTTTTTGATGAGCCCGGAATTGTTGTGCTCCTCGCAAGCTCTTCAGGTGTGCCTTTCAAAGTAACAAGCACCAACAGGTTGCTTTTCCTGGTTGYTTCCATCAGCAGGTGTGGATGGCACATAGTTACTTTTCCTGTATTCCACCCACGCCACTTGCTGGTTCCCAAAACATAGCCCAGAGGTCATTTTATATGGAATTGCTTTATTTCTTCAACTTTTTGGCTTACCTTGCCATTAGGATTGTTTTCTGCCATCTAAAGCAATGTGCTTCCACGTTGTCACTGTGTTCATGTTTTAACATTCAGTATAACATTCTGTTTGAACCATTATTTACTGTCATAATAATAATATTATAATAATCTCGATGAACATTCTGCTCACTAAGTCCAGTAAAAGGAGAGGTGAATGTTGTTGAAAGTGTGGCATTTTCTACAGCTGCAAGGAATGACAACCATGTTTGATTATATTGGCTGGTTGGAAAGGCCAGCCACTTCTTAACACTGAAGGTTTTATCTTAATTTTTTTTTGTCTCTGTGTACTGTATGTTAAATTTATTGTGTTCAGGAGGGAGTGCAGCCAGGATAATAGCTTCATATAATTATGCCAGTCCCAGGGAAAGGTAGGAATTAGTAGGAAGCAGAAGACAAGAGCAGGCGAAGAATTTTCCTGTGAAATAGTTGTTTCACAGCTATTATACATTGTATACACCTACTAATGACTTCTCTGGTAGTTTTTTACTTGCGTAGAAAGATTACCAAGCCCTCTCTCCTACTTCGAGTTGATGAATTTTCCACATAAGCAGCTAATGTTCTAAAAATATAAAGAGCTCTGTTCCTTTTCTCTTAAGTTTTCTTTCAACAATGCAGTTTAAATAATCCTGATGAGAGTAAGTTAATAGATTAACAGTTTGTCCCCAGGGTTTTTTTTTTTTGCTTGTTTTGTGTAAATTTGGCCTGGTGTGAACAGCACTCATATGCTCCCTCAATGTAATCAGTGTTTTGTTTAAGCATATTTTTTAGTAATGAGTTTTTCTACTGGTGTAACTACACAAACACACAATCCTGAGGGGCGAAAAGCCTGTAGCTGTCTGACATTTGACAACAAATGACGCTCCACATGAGTTCATTTTCCCTCATGGGATTGACAGTGTATAACCAATGATAAAATGTATATTTGTACTTTTCTGTCCAGATCTTCAGAMGGATGTATTTGGCTGCTGTGCAGATTGAGCCTTTCCACCTTTCTCCACTTTGCACTGATAACACAGTTTAGCTTGTCTTRATAGTCATTTGGCCCTTCCAAACATCCTTGTTTTCCTCCTGTTTTTGTGTGGAATAGCAGTGTAGAAATAGTRATGGTGCCATAAGTTTGAACTACCAAAAAGAAACGTTGTTATTTTCAAAATAACAACCTATCAAAACACATGGCTGTGCTTCAGGCATGGTGCTGAAGCTTGCTGTCACCTGAAAATAGTATTATTTAGATTGCCTGTAGTTAAAGTGATGAAGTCTGGGAGCATCTATCAGTTAGAASTACAGGAGAAATGAAGCAAGGTGTAAATAAAGCCTTTCTAYTCTGCAAATCTATTTTCTGTAGACAGAAAATCCTACTGATCTTTAAGAGAGAATCTTAGACCTTGAAAAGCRTTGGTGTGCACATCTTTCACCCTYGAATTATGTTRGAAAGGTAAAAGACCTGCTGCAAACAGCCAGAGTCAGTTCTCTTAAGGCCTGGAGTGTTGTAGCTCAACTTCACTTTTGGATCGATTAGGTAACAGTTAAAAAAGATGAGATGTCAGCATTTTCCATAAATTTATGGGTAATCACAATTTAGTGATAAAAAGTGAGGTTGGAATGTGGCATCTTTAAACCCACATGTAGTTTTGGGATCTGTGTCTTGTTGGTGTTCATAGTCAAAGGCAGTTGTTACAGCCTGAATCTTTCAAGGCAAAATGGAATAAAATGTTTTCTTGGATTGTAATTTAAGATTGATGACATTGGCAAAGCAAAAATCAARATTTCTGTGGCTGGAAGGGAAAAAAGTCAGTTGGAAGATGAGTCAAGTGCCCAGCTCATGCATCTCACCAGCTGTTTCTATGTTACTTTCTACAATTTGCTGATGTGGCTTCTCTTCTTATTTGTGGAGTTCCAAAACCACTTGGATGTTGGGAAAAGCAAGTCTGCTGTTCCCAGCTCTGGCAAGCAAAAGAACAACCCATCTGTAACTATTCTGTAAGCTTAAAGAAATTTTAAAGGTGGTACCTTTAAGAAACTCCCACAGCCTAAACATTTGGAAGTGTTTCAGCTTGTTGTTTGTATGCAGAACCTGAAATTCTTTCATGAGGTTTCTCAAGAATCAGAGCCATCGAGAGTTTCCTGTGAGACTGAAATGGTGAAGGGCTGTGGTAAAATAGCAGAGATGGTGACTTTTTTRGTCTGAGGGTGAAGGGGAATAATTTTGTAATTAGAAGGATGAATTTCCAAGTTTACTTGATTTAAAAACAAAGCTTAATGGTGAGCTGGACAACGGTTATAGCTTTCTTCATTGTACTGGAAGTGGGTACAGTTTTATTAACTAGAAAAATAAATTAATTTCTTTTTCAGGATGTTTTCTCATAACATTAAATACTATCAAAATATTGCAGTGTTGCTTCCAGCATTTCTATAGTTGTCCACAGGGCTGCATAACTGTACTAGATGTTATTTTGTTTTGTTGGTACTGACTGGAATAAGCACAAAGTGAGTTCATCTCAAGTAACAAGGTAATGCTGTGAGGGCTAAACACTCCTTGATCTGTTCTTCCTGTGGCATCAGCTTACAGCCTTCCAGGATGATCCCACCCCTGAAAGAAAGATTACCTCCTTTGCTTACATTAATTGTTGGTATCTTGAGTCCCTGCTGGAAAAATAATTCTTGGTCTTATAAAAAAAAAAAAAGTAGTAAAATTTAGTAACACACCAGACAAGATGGTGTTTCCTGGATTTTTTTTAGCAGGCAAAAAAAGGCAGGGGTGTATGACTCAACCCTTATTTGTCTTGGTTTGTGGTGATGAAGGTAAAAAAAGTAGACGTTTGAATGYTTGTTCTTCTGATTTGGGGGTTAATATATTTCACACTTAGTGTGCTTAAATGCCAAAGTATTTGCTTTTGTCTCTTACTTTGGACTTCAATAGTGGTTGTTTCTATATTAAAACAAAACAAAAAMCCACCAAAACAACTGCAGACAAACCCATCACAAACCTTTAGGTTATGTCAGACTTTGATTTTATCAAATTTTGGACCTTTGGGAYCCATATTTGATCTACATACACCATATTAAGGCTCARCTATACAAGTCTTTCTCRCATGAATAATAGTATTGAAGAGTCATTTCTTCAACATCCTTGAAGCTTACTTCTCTGAGAAGGCAAAATCTCAAWTTTTTAACCATTCTTTTCTCATGTGATAATTTGTGGTGTTGATGTTTTGAGGCTTCTYGTACCTTCCCGAATAAATATTCTTTATACTTGTTAATAGCTCAGATTTTGAGAGCACTGCTCTAAGTAATATTTGACCTTTTTAGGTTTTTGAATGTTGATATTGCTTGTTCCATGAAAGCTTGCAAAGGGCCTGTCATCCACTGTAACTAAATTTGCAGTAACTAAATTTACCTGTGTATCGGAGAATACCCTAAGTACTTGAAACTCTTTACATTTGAAAATTATCCCATTATGGTGTTTTTTACATGTGGGACTGGTGGAAACCAGTGTGTTCAATTTACTTATTGRTAGTTTAGGACTGTGCTTCTTGAAATTCAAATGAATTGAAAAGGAAATCYTTACAAAACCATGCGGTGTTTCCTCCCARGTTGGATGCTAACAATGARCTTYCACTTCTGGTGAGGATTACCTGCCTTAGGTTGTGTCACTCCTTCCTCTGACACCTGGTGGGAAAACTGATAAGG